TTATTATATGGAGAAATAATAACAACAATAATTAATAGCAAACAGTGAAACAGCAATTATTATGTGCCAGGTATTATTCTAAGCTCTTTGCATTTATTTATTACATTCCTCATGTAGGCCTCGCATGCATCATTTTAGTAGGTGTTCTTTGGTTAGAAAAATAACTAACATGCATTGAAAACTTAAGAGTGTGTTGAGCATTGTGCTTTTATGTGTATCATTTATTTACCATCATGATGACCCTACACTTAGGTATTGCCATTGGCAGCAAACTGAGGCTTAGAAGGAGTTAGGTAACTTGACTCCTTCCAGGATATACCCAGGATATAACCTTCAATCTGGCTGATGTCCAGCCAAGCTCTATCTTGCTGCCTTTCTGTTTGTCATAGAATTGGAAGCATATTCCATAGGGTCAACACACCTGACATTCATAGGGCACAGATTTTTTATGGTTTCCCATGTGAGAAGTGCCCAGAAGTTCTGGCCACAATTTCCTAGCCCTCTCCCAACAACCATGAACTAAAACAACCTTTTGGAACGCGGATTCTGCTCCCTAACTGGGTTTAGGAATAAACTAATCCCAGTTCTGGGTAGTAAGGAATAGTAAAAAGCATGAAAAACACCCTGATTTTGCCATTTGCTAGCAAACTGGAACAACTCTTCAGACCCCAGTTTCCTAATCTGAGCAATGGGGCAATACAAATGATTCGTGCTGTACCCACACTGACCTCAACTCACACAGCTGTGATGATCAAAGATGATGATATCTCGTTGGAAATGCTGTGTACGTGAATGGTTATTATTATATTGCGTTGCCCCAAAAGTTTTTTTTTCCCCATAAGATCACTCTGGTAGTGCTTATTTGCATTTGACTTTATTTTAAATAATTTTGTTAGATTGTATTGTGACAGCTGTCATATCAGCATGCATTAAAAAAAATCAAAATTGGTGCATTTTATAGCCACTTTAATATTGAAGATGGAAGAAAATATGCAATGTTTTTGGATTATTACTATTTCAAGAAATGTAAAAATTCAACGGAAATAAAAAAAGATTAGTACAGCATATGGGGAAGGTGCTGTGACTAATAGAAAGTGTCAAAAGTGGTTTGCGAAGTTTCATGCTGGAGATTTCTTGCTGGACGATGCTCTACAGTTGGGTAGATCAGTTGAAGTTGATAGTGGTCAAAATGAGACATTAATTGAGAAGAATCAACGTTACACTATGCAGGAGATAGCCGACGTATTCAAAATATCCAAATCAATAAAGTTATTGGTGAAAATGAAAAATGTGTCTTTCATTTTACAGAAAAAACCATATGAATTTTTTGTCCAACCCAACCTTTGGTTCTTTACAAGGGCCTTTGTTACTGAAGTTGTCTTCGAATAGTGTTATTTGATCTAAGATTTAAATATGGAAAAGAATTCTTTGTGAGCTGTGGAATAGGGTTTTTTTTTCAGGTATGAAAGGAAATACCATTTTTTAAAATAACTTCTGTGTGCCAGGAATTGTGCTAAGATCTCACCTCTCATCTAACTCATACAGAAATCCAGAGCAGTAGATGTTACTATTTTATAATGAGGAAACTGAAGCTCAGAGCAGTTAAGCAATTTGCTCAGCATCACGTAGCTAAGAGATAAAATTAAAATTCAAACTGAAAATCTGTGGGAAACCAGTCTCCATGTTTGCATTCACTCTAGCACATTACCCCATAGACAGAGGGGAAAGAGGGAAGCAGAAAGCAAAAGGAAGGGTTTTGCACACCTAAAATGCCCCAGGAGAATGGGATTTGCCTGAGAATTAAAATATTATTATTAGGTGTCAAGGCTTTGCCACAAAGATGTAAGGAAAGCTCACTTTTTTCTTCTTTTTTTTCTATAGCCTTCTGCTTAAAAAATCTGTTTTATTTTTGCCATATTTCTGGGGAGAGCAGTGGGAAGTAGTTAGGAACAAAAACTATACCCACTTAATAGGTGGCAGTGGGCAAAACTGAGAAGGAAGAAGCAGACACTCCAGCCAACATTTGAAAGTAACCAGCTCAGCTGCCAGAATGACCTGCTTCACGGGACCTGGGGCCATCTTCCCCGACTGCAGCACCAGTTCATCTGGAGTCCCTGAGCTTCATACTTTCATACTCACTTTTTTATTTCTGTCCTTAGTCCCCAGGCTTTGGCCCAGTGCTTCCTACGAAGGAAAAAGCTGTTCTGAGGTGGAAAAATCTGTGAGGCTGAGAATGTCCCCTCTTCAGTCTTTTCATTCAGAGGATCTCTGACAGTGAGAGGCTTTTAAGGCCACAATCCAGATGTTTCTGGAAAAGGGAAGAAAGGCTAATGTACCTGGAGTTTTTAAGTTATGGAGCCCTTGTTCAGGCCCGATAATGTCAACCCCTAGATACGGTGCGGTGCCAGAACCTTGGAATATTCTGACTCCCTGTTGATAGCTCATGCTGGCTTGTATTGATAAGAAATGAATTTAAAATTCAGAAAATATTCAATCAATTAGTTAAATCTTGCCATTGGAAAAATAAAAATCAAAGGGATCAAAAATAATTCAGAATTCTTTGCTAGTTTTAAGAAATCATTTTCCCTAAAGGCGGCGAATGTTTTTTTTTAGATTTAACCAGAACTAATCTCCACCCCACCATGAAATAAAACCTTGAACTAATTGACCTCGGTGTCTTAATCTGCAAAAAGGATATAAAGTAGCTCTTAGGGTTGATTTGTAAAATCAAATCAGATGAGGTGGGTGAAAGTGCTTGGTAAAGTACAAAGGGCCTCATTAATGTAAAGGGATTTCTTTTTTAAAAGTGAAGCTCAGTGGAGGGAAAAGGGTATCTTGTTGGCACTGATTGCATTTTAGTCTTCAATAATCACTTTTAATATTCATGAGTATAAAAATTATTTTTTCCTATTTCACACTGTTTTCAAATGGCAGTGACCATTATTTGCTTAGCATCAGCTTCTAACTGAATCAGATAAGGAACTCTCCCAGGGTCAGAGGGCAAATCAAATGCCTCCATCCAAATCAGAGTGAAGCACCCATGAGGGGTGATTGCTGGGTCCAGAGTTTCCTCTTTACGAGTGAGCTTCATGGAATATACAGGCCAATTTATTTCCAAGTATCTTGTCAATCTTGCAACTTATAAGTGAGATGAAAATCAGTTTTCCATAAACTTTCTTCCCAATGTAAACTGTCAGCAAAAAAAAATCTCCTCATTGGAATCTTTCACAAACTGAGGCTGGGAGAAGTTAAAAAAAAACTGCTCATGGCCCTGTCCCGTTTGGCTTGGTTGGAGCCCCGTTCTGTAACTGAAAGGCTGCGGGTTAAAATTCGCGGACTGGCGCATACCCAGGTTATTTCATCCTAGTTGGGGTGCATACAATCCCTGGTCCAGGTACGTGGTGGCAGCAGCCAATGGATGTTTCTGTCTCACATGGACGTTTCTCTCCCTTCCTCTTTCTCTAAAAACCAGTGAAAAAATGTCCTTGGGTGAGGATTTAAAAAAAATAGCTCATGGACTTACTACTGATGAATCTATAACCTACTTATAACTCTGATCGCACTTTCCTCTGGGGCGGGGGTGGTGGGGAAAGCCATAGCAATAACAACAACAACAACAGCTAACACTATGTGTCAGGCACTTGTTCCAACCTCTTTGCATGTATTAACTATTTACCCATCAAAAAAACAATTTTTTGGACTAGTCCTTCACTGAAGTAGCCCAAACAGAAACAATACTTTTTTTTTTTTTCGCCTCAGCTCAATGACACTGCAACCCGAAATCACAACTCCGTTTTAGGTTCCTGGTGGTGCCTGCTTCCTCTTCTAGTTTGTTTAGTCACAGAATTCGATTCCTGTTGGCCGATTACGCGCCTGCAAACAAGCTTAGCGCTCTATTGAAATGCGTGAGGCTCCTTAACTCTTGTGTAAACAGGTAATGCGAAGGGGTGGGGCACACATTGCGGGCTTCTTTGGGATGGGGATGGGGTGGGGGTTAGAACGAACCCCTCAAAGATCGAGAGAGGTTAAGAGAGGGCTTGGCCGCTGTTTTTAAATTCAGGGGTTTTTTTTTGTTCCCTTTCTAGAAACTAGCTGTAACTTAGAGCAGAACGCATTAAATTAAGCCACTTCTGAACAAGCAGCGCCCAGGCCCTAGGCCCTGCTGCGAAGGCCCCCGGCAAAGGTCAGGCTCCGTCCGCGTGACGTTCGTTCCTGCGCTGGTCCGAGCCGTGCTAGGCTTCAGGTAAGGACACTCTGGGAGGTCCCCCCTTCCGGCACGTCTGCCGCAGTGCTCGCTCTGATCCTACCTGGTTAAACGACGTATTTACTGGGAGCCAAGACGGGGGTGGGGTTGTGCTGATCGGCTCGTGATTCAACGGCAGGTTCCTTATTCCTCAAACCTGTTTCTGCTTTGTTTCTCTGAACAGCCCAAAAGGGCCAGACGTCTGTTTCGGACAGATGTCCTCAGGTGGAGCAGGTGTCACTTCTGGGGTCAACTCTGGATGTCTGAAATGGGTGTGACTTTTTGAACTGGGAGAGAAACCTGTCCGGTGGAGTCCCCAGATCTCTCCGATCAAGGCAGATTTATTTTTTAACCTTCAGCAAAGGTATCTCGGCTCCTAAAACAACAGGAATGTTGCACTGGCCTTAAGCCAGCGGAGGCTCAACGAACAGGATAAAATTTCAGTGCAGATTTACGGGAAGTTGCCGGTGTTGAGAGTAAAAATCTGGTTTGGTGAGTTTAAGGGAAGGGAGTAGACGAGAGACAACCTTGCTACTGTGAGGCGAATGGCCTCGGCGGGGGAGGGCAGCGGGAGGAGGGAGGAGGGAACAGGGAAGAGCTCGGAGACCAGACGCCGAGCGCTCCCCGTGCGTAGCGCAGGACGCAGCTGGGTTCCCGGGCCGCTGGGCTCCCCGGGGTGCGGACCCGGCGCCGTTCTGCCAGTGGGGTCGCCGCGCTTCTAAGTTCTCGCTCCGGCCAGGAATTAAGCCCCCGAGAGCTGCCTTCAGGTTCTCGCTCCTGCTTCCCACTTCGGAAGGTGCAGTTTGGGATAGTGAGAAGCCGGGGCTCGGGGAGTAATCCTCGTAAGAGTTTCTGCAGGTTTCCAAACTTAAAAAATTGTGACAAACTGGAATTCCCAGAGCCTGGGAGTTAAGCCTGAAACGACCTGTTGCTTTAAGCGGCGCGGTGGGGAGTAGCTGGACACTCCTCATTTCGGTTTTACATTAAAAAGAGCGAGGCCGAGAAGATGTTGTAGGTTACTTGCTAGCCGTGTAAATTGCTACCGGGCTGTGAATGAATGGTGTTAATTTCTGAAGTGGGCGATTCCAAATACATAACAAAGGTAAGGTGGTTTTTGGTAATCCTTTTAACTACTGTCTGTCCCTTCCATTTTACATTTGGTCCCTATTTTGAAATTTTTTTCTTTTTCTTCTCTCTTTAGCCCTTACATCCCTCATTCTACCACCTTCGTTGACTCTGGTATATTTAGTGGGGAGGAAATGGTTTGTAAAAAGATTTTAAAAGCGTCAGCTTCTGGAAAAGCAGAAAATCATATTCAGTCATCCGCATCATGTTTCCTGTGGTGATGAAACCTTTTCTGTACCAGAAACAAATTTTTGTTACCCTTGAAAACACATGACTGGGCCATGCAGAGCCACAGGTGGCTTTTTAGACTCAGTTTATTAAAGTGAGATTGAAGAAACATGACAGCCATCTCATTTAAATGTTAAGGATGGTGGGGGTGGAGGGTAGGATGTCTTCCTGTAGTAATTTACCTCCAAAGGTAACACTGAGCGGAGGCTTAGTTATTTTGTTAAAAACTCAATCTACATGAAAGTGTGGGACTTATGAATTATGACAGCTGACCAATCACTAGTCACCAGATATTTGAAAAATCAGCTACAATAAATGAAATGGAATTTTTCCAGATAAATGATTCCTTTTTTGATTAGGTAAAAGTTCATCTACTGTTGGGTACTGTCCCAAGGCATTTGGGAATATGACTTCTTTTTTGAGGCTTATCAAAGTGATTGAAAGACAGTGTCCTCAAGGAACTTATAGGCCATACTGCTTTGAAGGAAAAATAATCAAGTCCTTTTTTTTCCCTAGTGACATTTTAATGACTCAGTTTTCTTTAGCAGGAATGTAGATTAGAAATGTATTCTTTAAAAGTTTTAATGCTGGATCACCTGAACTTTCTCAGAGGAGAGAACGCAAAGGGCTGACAACACAAACATGAAGGGGTGGCCACAGTTTTAAGCACAGTTGCAACTAGACCAAGAGCATTTGAGAATTTCAGGTGTTGATTCTAAAAGGTGAAAGGTTGTCAGTGGCATAAAACACAACCTCTTAGACAAACTGAAGTACCCAACCTAGGCAATGAGATAACACTTTGCTGGAGATTGTGTCGCTATTAATTTAAACAGTAATTTTGTCAGACTGATGATCTGAAATCTTGGAGGGGAACAAAGCCAACCCAATCTGAAAAAGAAAACAGGAGAAGGGAAAGAAATAAGTTTGGGGTTTTGTTTCCTTTCTTGTCTACGTTCCACCTCCACATTTCAAGTCCCTTCTGAATTTTCAGGACCCGGCAGGGGAATGAATGCAGGTGCTGGTGGGGGGGAAGGGGATCTCCTCAAAGACAGACTAAGGTTCAAGTGAAACTGATTAGATTTTCCTAGAGAATGCATAATCCTAGGGAAAAACACCTTACTCGAAAGAGGGCTTTAATTTGGGATTCATAAGACTTAGAAAAATGATATATTTTTCATGACTGTAGAAATGTGCACCAAACATTTATGAAGTTACAATGAAGGTGTAATGCAGCTTAAAAAGTGGTTGTCAGAGTGATGTTAAGTTCAAGATTATATTAGAACTTTTCAACTGATGGCCTGATTAAGAGATATAGTTTTCCTCTTGGGAGCAGTTTCTGTGTCTTACGATGATGTTGATTTTTCTGGTTTAATATCGTAAGAGGTATGTGCTAGTCAAAACAACCACCTGCTCAGAGTAATTGCTTCGAAGAACAACCACAAAAAGACTTTCAATAATGGCAATGCAGATGATTTGTCTTATAAGATAGGGGGCCTTTAGAATCTTTGGAGAAGCACAATCATAGAAATAATAATAATTAATTGTTCAGTTGGCTCCTCAGGTTTTTGGAAACGTCTCCTCCTGGAGGGATTTAGGGGGAAGTGGCACCCGGCCACCTTTTGTGTGTGGTCCTGAATCAACCTGGCGGTAGAACACTCCTGAGATCATCCGAGCTTGTTTTCTGATTGTTTCTATGTCTGTCACTGTCATAGTTGCTTTCCCTCCTGGTCTGTCAGCATCTGTATGGGGCAGAGGAGAGAGAGCGAGGGGAAGCTACCTTTCCTTTGAAGTCAGTGTACCCCTTTTCAGAATCTCTTATATTTTGCCCTGAAAGGTGAGGAAGGAATTTTCCAGTGAAAGTAGAGGGCAAGAGAGTGTCTGGAGGAATAAATAGCCAAGAAGCAGGTGAGTTCGTTTCAAACACTGTTAGTAATGTAGAATTTACCAGAAAGCTTACATGGGGATTATCAGTGCCCTTTAATGTTGAAGGTGAACTGTCCACTGTAGGAATTTAAGGCTCATCCTCACCACCTTTTGTAGTTCACATGCTCCTAGTGCACTGCAATAGATTGCTCATTTGAATGAGTTTAAGATATCATCTCTTGGTACAACTAAAAGTAAACTGATTACAAAAGGCCCAGGCCCTTCAACCTTACTCCCACTGCATCTCTCCTCTACTTTCTGCAGTGATTTGAGGACAACTGAAACACACACAGCTCAGTTTCTATAACCTACGTGTATAATGAGAGTATACTTTTTTGTTACTGTGAATATTCAGTTTTTGTCATCATATGAACTTAGTGCATATGCTAAGTTCATGCAAAATGATTTATGAAATGTGTTTAGATGTATACAGTTTATGTGTTTGTAAAATATGAAAGATAAGTAAACTGATACTATAATAGAAATCATTGATAATAGTTTATAGTTGCCCTTCTGGTAAGCCCTATCAGGTTTTGAGAGGGTCATTTTAGAAATCAAAAGTATAACCGTACAATCCCTACCTTGCCGAAGGCCATTTAAAAGAGATGACATCAGGAGAAGGCAAGTGCTAGCGTTGTAACCCTGAAAACTCTTTGTGATTTTGGGAAAATAGTAATCCTTTGGTCTTAATAGATTCCTGGTAGTACAAAATACATACTTTACTTACAAACTTCAGCCATTCATAGTAGTCAAGAAAACAATCCATGGTCTTTTTGAATCATGATATATGTCTTTGGGGAGACTGACTGTTTGTGGTCCTTACGAACGTGGCAGCCCAGTGCCAAGACCATTGTCAGTGTCCAGTGGGTGTATATTGAAGGAAAAGTGAGTTGCTGACAGTTTTAGCCTTCTGGTTGTGCTTTGCTTCGGATAATGGCCAATATTGCTAATATGGAAGTTTCCACCAGCTGGGGAGAAAGACACCCTGATCTCAGAAGCCATGGGTAATCCACACATGGGTGAGCAAGAGTTAACTATATGTACCAATGGGCAGCGGGCGAGTGTACAATGAATGCAGGGCATTGTGCATGTGAAACAGGAACAGGACGCCTCTACCTGGCCAAGGAAATGCCAACCTGTAAAAATTATGACAAAAAGCATTCAGCTTTTAGAGCACTGAGACCCCACTTGATTATTCTTATAAAACATTTCACATTGTGCCAAAAAAAGAAAAAAGTTAATATTTCATAAAATGAAGAAGGTTTTTTTCAGGTGTTCATTCTCTTAGATCAATTTGATTGCCATTCCAAAAACGTATATTTTGGCTTTTTGAGCCCAGGTGAAATATCCATGTTTCTAAAAGTAGGGATCCATATCTGTGAGAGCACGGTGACTTTTGAAAAGACTGCTTAAATAATATTTCTTTTTGTTTGCTGTCATTTATTTTTTAAAATAATAACATGGTTCTTGGTACACCAAGCCCTTGCCAAGATTAGGCCCATCTTCTCAGCAGCCTTCTTAAGACAAAGTTGCCTTTGTATAACTACAACCGGGAGGATTTGGTGACACAGAAAACTCAATGGGGCACTGCAACTTATTATTAACAGAAAATTCAATGGCCTCATGTTTTTGTTGTTGGTTTTTTTAAATACTCTCCCAGCTAATATCTGCGTTATATTTCTCCATGCAGATGATCTTACTATTTTAGACTTGTCCAGGGAAGAATGTGGTGGCTGCGGATTTGCCTTGGGGTTTGGTTAGAGTATAAAAGACCAAAACTGCGGCCTGCTGATGCAGAGGGGAGCTCAGCTCTGAGAGCTGGTTTGTTCTTGCTGTAGTCGGCAAAATTTGGTCACACGTGGAAAGAAAGAAAATGGGGGTTAGCCAGAGTGAAAATGATAAGTTGGGGGAAAGTTGGCTCTAAATTCAAACTCCATGGCAGAGTGGCTAAGAGCAGAGACAGCCTTTGTTCAAATCATGGCTTTGCCCTTATGTGCTATGGGACTTTAGGCAGGTTACCGAAAAACAAAACATGCAAAATAAGCCCCTGTGACTCAGTTTCCCCAATCATAAACCTCCTACCTGACAGGGTATTGTAAGAATTGAAGTAGTTAGGTAATCTTAAAAATTTTTTTTTATTAAAGTATACTTGGCATACACCATTGTATTATTAGTATAAATTAATCTATGGTATGAACAGAGCTTAGAACAGTGCTCAATCTGTAGTCAGTATAATGTGCTTATACATCATGTTTGAAAGCATTTCTGACTTTGAGTCCTTACCTCACTCTCCTATTCCATGTAAGAGTTGCCTTTCGTGACCTCTTCTGCTGGTTGGAATCCAGGATTCTCTTCCTTACATGACTCCTTGGCTTTGACCACGTGGCCATTGTCATTGTAGGCAGGCGCTATTTTGCTGGTATGTATGTGTGTATGTATTTGTTTATGTTTTTTGTATCTTAGGTGTATGGAGAAAATCACCGAGGTGATTCTAAGGGGGGCATTTCTCCCCCCTCAGTAAATTATAAGATGTTTTCAGAAACAAATGGAATGACGCTCTGTTATACCTGCCAAGTGAGAAACTGCCCAGTGTGTGGCGGCCAACAGAGCATAGATTCTGAAAATGGTTGATGCAAAGTAGACATTTTTTTGTGCAAGGGCTTAATACATCAAACTTAAGTAGTTCCTATTATGTTTTGTACTGGTTAGTATTAACTAGTCATAATCATAATATACAATATGGGAATTTCTCCAAATTGCTACAGTGCCTTACTTTGGTACATATACTATTTTCTCTACCAGATAGAAAATAAGTTCCTTAGAGGC